AGTGTTGCCAACCTATTTCCAAGCGTACACGGATTACGTGCTTAATAGAACCACGCTGTTTTGTGTTGTTTCGTTGGAATCCTGATGTGCGGCAAAATATAAACCGTAGGACAAAGTATAAACCGTACGGCAAAGTATAAATATGCAGCAATTAGCAGCTTTCTGTACTATAAACAGTACAAGGAAGCCAACTTTGTCGGGTGACTGTAGGAAAAATTTTTTTTCAGGTTATAACTTCAATTTAAAGTTAACTAGTGTACCTGTTGCTCGAATTCGAGCAATTACGAAGCATTACAGGCGACTCACGAAGATTATGGAAATACTCACGATCTACACAACAGTTAGATATAATAAAAATCTTTTGTAAATCTCTATCTTTTCTCAAAAAGCTGATCTTGTTTTTAGTGTTTCTAAAAAATTTTCCCTCTCATAGCCGCATTAGGTTGTCTATAATAACGATTATAAATGAAAAAAATATATTTCTTTTCTTCTACTTGGTTGTGTTCTATGACTTTTCTATGTTTCCATTGTTTGCAAATCGGTTATTTCAATGATTGCTCAAGAAATGTAGCATATTGTTAATTCAGTTTTATTTTTAGCCTATATCAAATTGTCCAGGATTTATCGCTTTTTTTCCATTGTAATAATTTCACCAACCCAAGTTTCGTCTACAGATGCAATACGCCAAAGAATATCACCTACGTACAATCTCCAAGAAGTGGTAAAAAAACAGAAACCAAGCCATACAATATATATAAGTCAACTCCATAAGAAATAATTTTAAGAGTTACTGTGATATTAGGATTTTCCACTGATTTGGTAATAGAACATTATATTGCAAAACATGACACGATGCAGAATAAAATCGATTTTAAGATCAGAAAAACCCATTGCAAATACTGTACTTCATTTTGAAAAATTCAATAAATCACATTTTAAATATTAACAGCTGTTTCATTAAAAAGTAGTGTAGAATTATGCATATGGTAAACAAATTTGAAGAGGCAACTTTAAAGGCTTCTGGGGCAGAGCCCCAAGGGAATTTACCTCGTTCCTCTTTTGATGGCTCATCTATAGACCAAGACCTTTCTTTAAAGACCCCTACCAAGTTTCTACGCCCAGGCGTTCTCTCAAATTAGCTGGGACAAAAACCCAGTTTTTCCTCCATAAGAATAACATGGGATGGGAATTCAAAGGCCACTGGGGCAGAGCCCCAAGGGAATTCACCATTTTTCTCTTTTGATGGCTCATCTACAGACCAAGACCTTTCTTTAGACACCTCTACCGAGTTTCTACGCCCAGCCGTTCTCTCAATATAGCTATGACAAAGAAAAACAGTTTCAAATTAATATATAGATATTTACTTTGATTGTTAAAAATTCAAACAGTTGACAAAACAATAACAAATCTTAGTTTGTTTACGTCGGCAAAATGAAAAAAATATAGTAAACATTACTTTCGCATAGGAATAGTATGTTTCGTACCAAGGGCCGAAAATTGGGTTTTGCTGGCTCGAGATAGTTTTTAAGTTCGAGACGAAGTCGAGAACTTAAATCGATCGAGAGCTGCTAAACCATTTCGGTCCGTGGTACGAACGCTATTTTTCACCACACTTAACCCTATTACCACTATTCACCACTATAATAATGCACACTGATGGTCAACACAACTGCACATTTAAGGTTATGTGAAGAAATAATTTGAGGAATCAGCAAATATAAAATTAATAGTTGCTAGGCAACGGTGACAATAACACAATTCTATTGCAATGCTATGGATTTTGATTGTGTATTTAAGATGCATTCATGTTTTAAGTAAGTAAGCGGGCAGCTGATTTTACGGCCCCGGCCTGTAAAAACCTGCTCGGTCCCCAAATTACGATGACAGCTGGCATGGCCAGCAAAACATTACTTTCAGCCACCAATTAACGTATGTAATACAGCCAAAAACATCATAGTGTGGTGAAAACATTCTTTTTTGCCGTTGTAAACAATGTAATGATAGATTTTCGCAGGTGATAAACATTAAACAAAAACAGGTAATTTCACAGTAGTGTAGCGAAAAACATTTACTCAAAATCTTAGCACTTAAAACTTATGAGATAAAAAAAAACACACGGAATGATTGAACTAAAGTTTTTCATTGGTCCTAAAATTGAATGATTGAAACAAAAAATTAAACAATTTGCATTTTTTATTGAAATAAAACAACTCTGATGACATAATAATTAGTTAAACAATTTATAAATAAAGAAATGGTGCTACTAATCGCTGTGGTTATGATCCGAAACGTATCCATCCGCAATTTAGAGTAATATTGTGAACAATAATTGGCTTAAACGAGAATTAATAAAGATCCGGTTGTTTGTATTAATTGTCATTTTAAAATAATGTACATGCAAAGAAGGGTAATTAACTTCTAACTACATAAAAATATTTAAAGGTATTTAGTAAAAATCATAACCAAATTTTGGTTGAAAAATCTTTATGAAAAAATAGTTTTTCTCATTTTTGACCCTCAAAACACATAATCTCCCAACTTCTCTCTAGACCTCATTAAAGAGCTTAAAAAAAATAATTTAGTATCAAAGTGTTTTTGTACGGTTATTACTAACGGAAAAAAATGTAAATTTAAAATTCTTATGTTATTCTTATGGAGAATATTGTAAAATGTTGTAATTTGATTGTTAATGGATATTTTGACCAAACTCGGCAAATTTATTCATCCATACTAAGCTATTAATATTTTACTAAAAAAAAACACTTTATTAATTTACTTGTAGCAGCAAACCTAGGCACTTGTTAAACCTAATGTTATTTCAATAGATTTGATTGAAAATCAATTCAGACAAATGGAAATTTGCTTAGTCGACAGGTTTGCTGTGGCGAGAGTATTTCATACAACCTCACTAGATATGAGGTTAAAATGGGAAGTTTGTCAACACCTTATGATAGGCTCGGTGTTTTTATGAGTTTTTTTTTTATAATAATAATAGTAATAACTAGCAACCTGAATCACTTGGTGACTTCAAAATCCGCGATGTATTTGATATATCCCTATTATTTGCATTGCGAGTCCTATTATAATCATTGCGTGCGCGATCTCTTCGAGGCATCTTAGAAAAATTATCAATAAAAAAAACATCAATAGAACATACTATGAAAACAAAAAATCTAAAGTAAGTAATTTTCTTCTTTATTTTTTTTTTCAAATAAAATTACAACATTTTACTTGAATTCACTGAAACATCACAAACTACATATAACCCTATTTTCGTATGGATGTAAACAAAATTGAATCATGACCATCTGTTTTGATGTAAACAAATGTAAACTTGAAAAAGTTCAGATGATTGACAACAGAATTTAGAACAAACTCTGAAATTTTAAAAGCCAGGACGAAGGGCTTTCACGGAATATCATCCAAACCCGCAAAAGGCACATCTAGAGGATAAGACCTTTAAATTGATACATAATATGTCTATGCAAACAAATATTTAGGGGTCGATTTGCTGCACACAACAATAAAAAAAATCCTTTTAATAATATAGATCAAAAGTCAATGATAAACCCTTACCACAGTCATATTAGCCATATCGATCATACGTTTACTTCAGTTTCCAAATTTAATGGTATCAGTTTGTCCTAACTCGGTAAAATATTGAAATAAAAATGAAGTGTTGAAGGCAGTCTCGAGTGTCGCCAGCCTGTAGAGGCGCTGCGGAGTTTTGGGGTCAGCTGGGTCTAAAAACGTATCGGCTTGGCTTAAAAATAGCTGCAGCTGCGCATAGAGGGCGTCATGTGTAAATATGTAAAATACTGTGTTCAGTTTTTCTCTCAGTCTTCAGATCTAATAATATTTTAAATGAATGTATAATGTTGGAAAGAGAAACAAGGTTAATTTTATCACTAGGGCCTAAAATGAATCTTTTCGATATGAGCTTAAGTTTAAAACTAAAAAACAAGAATTATAAAGGGGCTGAAAAGTAAATTCTGGCCCGTATGATAAACAATATTTTCCATACATTTATAATCATCTTTTTTACCATTACTAAGCCAACCAAAACATCAAAACAATAACACCGCACTTTGTTTAAATTTTTATGAATTTTCTACCAAAATGATTAATATCTTGTTTTGCCTTTGTTTATCATAGTTGTTACCGTTAATTACGTATTATTTTGCCCAACACAGAAATTAATTTAAAATCAGTACTTCAAATTTGTCAAATCATCCATAAGAGTAAATGTTATGTTACTGCAGTATAAATAGAACGAGACACTATAATAATCCCAAAAATATTGATAATATGCAATAGCCTAGTTAATAATAATCAGGGGGGTTTTCGCAAAATCAGCAGACGAAAAACTAAGTCAGAAACATGTACAGCTGATGTTCTCGACTACAGCTGATTCTTTTTCGCCATAGAGAGAAAAAAATAGCTTCTTTAGACCAGTAACGCACATGTTAAAACAGCTGTTTTTGATGCAGTATGACGACAGCAATATTAACCAGTAAGTTTTTAATTGCAATGATATTTTAGTCAGACCCTCTTGATTTCCAGGTTACAATGATGACGCCGATGATGAAATTAAATATCATGTATTAGAGCACAGTATCATGCAATCGTCTAGGTGTTGAAATTGTAGGAGTGAAATTGTATAGGACTCACCTTCAAATCTGGTTCGTTTCTATGCTCAGATGCCATTCGTCATTAAGCCATCAACAACACAAGTTTTTGAACCGTTTTAAACAAGCTAATGGCGTTAAAATACGTATACGAATGAGATAATCAATTACTGACAAAGTTGATTCCTTACCCAAGACTATTTATTGATATCCCAATTACCCAAGACAGCTGTTTAAATTTCGAACCACCAACATGTTACTGACTTTTCTCAAGTCTGATCATTAGGCGAGCACTGTAACCACTCACCTACAACTTACAGCTTTCCACCCCTGTTCTCCAGTGTTTGTACTAAAGATGGACTTTGTTTGCAGATTCGGCCAGGTAGCGTAGACCAACAAAGCCGCCAAGATGGACGCGATCAAAAAGAAAATGCAGGCGATGAAGATGGAGAAGGACGCCGCCATGGACAAGGCGGACACCTGCGAAGGACAGGCAAAGGACGCTAACTCACGCGCTGACAAGGTTGGCAGAAATTGGAAAATTTATATTCACATAGATCAAATTTAGTTTTCTTGGAAAATGCAGTTAGCGACAAGGTTGGCAAACAAACTGACTTCCTTCTTTTCTTGACATCACCCCTTGTGGTAGGTTTACCCGTGGTAAATAAGGGACATAGTCTATTAGGCAAAAACATCTCAGTTGATGAATTATGGAAGAAAATTATGACCTAATTTCTCAAAAATCGAAACGAAATGCAAACAAGTGATTTCTAACATGAACTTCGATGGAAATGGCGTTATTTGAAACCCTGGAGTGAGACATTCATAATTTCATCTCTTAGTTCGTTATCTAAGATGTTTCTGACAAGTAGACAATGTCATTTTTTCACCCAATAAGAGAAAACACACAGAGTGATGTCGAAATGTCATCCTCCTCCATGAAAACTGCTATTCAACATTTTCTATTTTAGGTCATGATACCTAATCTGATAAACAAACTCGGCAAAAAATACGAGTAGTACTAAACTTTAGCATGTAGCCGATACAACAAACAAAGGTAGAAAATCGTGAGTTGAAGTGTAACAGTACAGCTAATGTATGAAATTATACTAGTCTTTTGTGGACATGTATTACCTACATTATTCATAGTCCAAAAAGATTTTACAAACTTTTTTGTTGACCCTCAAGTGGACATTTGGTTTAAATCAGCCTTACTGTATTGTGCTTAATATTTTCATATGCTTGACCAGGTCCTTGAGGACGTTCGGGAACTCGCCAAGAAGCTAACGCAAGTAGAACAGGACCTGGAGAACAACAAGAAGGCTCTGGAACAGGCAACCAAGGACCTGGAGGAGAAGGAAAAGCAGCTGACACAGGTGAGTGAAACATGGCAAATAATACATAAATACTACACACTACACGCCTAGGGTACGTCGGGGACTTAGTGCAGGTTCATTTGTATTAAAATAATGATTCGCGTTTTTTTTGTTAAAGGAAAAACTTATTATCTTTTGAAGATGGTATATTAATACAATCCTCTTCAACCTAGCAATAGAAGAAGCTCTATAAGAAGTGGCAACAATAGACAAGGGAATTTCAATTGGCTCCAGAATTAACATATTAGCGTTTACAGACGATGTCGTAATTTTTGCAGAAACTTTAGAGGACCTACGCCAACTAACAAAAGTATTTATGGACAAAACAGGACAATTAGGACTAAAAGTAAATGATGGGAAAACCAAATATATGCAATTTTCAAGAAATCAGGGTATAGCCCAAGACCTACTGCAGGTAGATGACCATAAATTTGAAAAAGTAGAACATTTGAAGTATTTAGGGGTTATCTTATCCAGGGAAAACAAAGAAGAAATAGAAATTCAAAATAGACTAAATCTGGCAAACAGATGTTTCTACGCCTGCAACATACTGATGTCCTCTAAGTTACTGTCAAAAAACACCAAAGTTAGAATTTATAAGACAATAATCAGCCCAGTATTATTATACGGAGCTGAAACATGGAAACCAAATAAAAAAGAAGAAAAGAAGTTAATCACATTCGAAAATAAGATTTTAAGAAAAATCTATTGACCAATTTATGAAGGTGAATGGAGGAAGAGACACAACAGAGAACTGAGAGAACTCTACAGAGATCCAGATGTGGTATGTGAATTTAAGTGTAGAAGAGTTAGATGGGCTGGACATGTTTTACGAAGAGAGGAGCAAAATAAGTTAAAATTAGTTTTACTAAGAAGTCCCGAAGGAAGCCGACCGAGGGGAAGGCCAAAACAAAAATGGTGGAGCCAAGTAAAGAAAGACATGGAGCAACTGAGGAAGATGCAGAGGATAGAGCAAGATGGAGAGGCTTTGTTGGTGCGGCCAAATATCTTCTTAGATATGCATGGCCCTGAGAGTAAGAGTAAGTTTATTAATAAAAAAACTTAAAGTTTAATTTTTTCTATTCCAATATGGCGTCCAAAATTTATTCTCTCGTGACTCTCGTGAAATGCCACTGGCGTAGAAAAAAAAAATTACCGCTGTTAGGTACCATTTCTAGGGGTTTCCTAAATATCTCAAAAACTATGATCTTTTTGTATACCTACTATACTAAATTAGGAAATTAAAGAAGATTACAATTCATACAAGAAAAGTATATGATGTAACTATTTCGGTTAACCATTTTCAAGATTTCATGAATATCGGTTATATTGACATTAGGTTGATAGGCTTAGCCACGTTTAGCATTTATTTTACGTAAAAATTTACATGTATTTTTTATGGAAGGAGTATTTGAATAAGGAAACACCAGAGTGCATTATGTAATAATTCATATTTAATTCCTTTTCTTAGGCTGAGGGTGAAGTAGCATCCCTCAACAGGAAGGTCCAGATGATTGAGGAGGACCTTGAAAGATCAGAAGAAAGATCCACACAAGCGCAGTCCAAGCTGGCAGAGGCTTCACAGGCAGCCGACGAAGCCAAGCGGTAAGAAACGGTATCCAGTTTGATTTAGGACTCTTCGTCAAGTTCAATGATAACCAAATATCATCACTGCATGATCTTAAGGCTGTATACCTCTATAATGTGTACATCGCGCTGCTAAAAGTAAGCTTTTTTGGCGATCTACGAAGAAAAAAGGTAAAACCGTATCAGATGTACGGATAATCACTGGAACAGAAATCATTGTTGCCAGGGACGTCCCTTTTTGTCGTGGAACAGAACTGCATTATTGATCAATACTTTTAGACCTCACTACACTAATGCTGTTATGAGTAAAGTCATGTTTTGAAGTACAATTCTAGAATAGCATGTTTAGAGTAGCTTAACACAAAACGGATATTTCTGAATTTAAAATTTGTAGCAGTGCACAAGGCCAAAAGTATATGATGAGTACATATATGATAAGTTAAACATTACTTCACGAGAACTTGATTTAAATTAGATTGACTATAATTAATTAGTTAAGCTTAGGTTAGTCTCTTATGTTCAAAATAATAAGAAGTGTTTCAGAATGTGTCAAGTATTAGAGAACCGTAGCAAGGGCGATGGGGAAAAGCTGGAATTCCTCACAACGTCGCTGAAGGATGCTAGGACAAGAGCCGAAGAGGCGGACAACAACTCAGAGGAGGTTCGTAATATGAAACGAAACTCTGGCCGACAGTAAAGTATGTAATTTGCCTTTTCAGAATGTGCCAGGTACTCGAGAACCGCGGAAAACCGATTGTGGAGAAAATGGATCACCTGACAAACACTCTTAAGGAGCTGAGAACCTTAGCCGAGGACTCGGATACCAAGTCGGAGGAGGTTTGTAGTATCGTGGTGACGTGGATGTCCGTCTGATTGTTTTGGGGTTTTCAGAATGTGCCAGGTACTCGAGAACCGGAACAAACCTATAGTGGATAGGATGGATCTTCTTACAGACCAACTAAAAGAGCTGAGAACGTTGGCTGAGGATTCGGACACAAAGTCCGACGAGGTCGGTAAGATGGTCCTGATCTGCACGCTGATCTAGCACACCTTGGATGTTGCACCATGTGTCCGATGAACGGGAAATGTTTTGCACGCTCGAATGATTAATCCGAATTTTGCAGAATGTGCCAGGTGTTAGAGAACCGCAGCAAGCTCGACGAGGAGAGGATGGATCAGTTGACGAACCAACTGAAAGAGGCTAGGATGTTGGCTGAGGATGCCGACAGCAAGTCTGAGGAGGTCAGTAGAGAACTAGAGAGTCTGAACGCTGGCTCACACTTCTGACTGCTGGCTTCTGGCATACCAAGGCTGTCCTGCAATCTCGCCATTTCACTACTGATATTAATATTTTCCTCTTCTTGCTTATTGGCTTAGCTCTGGCTTCTGCATTTGACATTCGCTTATTGCATGAACTTTTCTTAACTGGACATGAACATGTCACTAACCAAGACGATTGACATCAAACCACATATCAAGGCTTGTGGTCTACACGGAAATTTATAAATTCACAAACAAGTATTAACGAAAATCTTAGTCAGTCACTTGGAAGTTGACAGTTGGCATGTTTACATTTCATGAAAGTGAAAGAGCATTCGTTTTTATGTTGCTGAAGAAAAATGATACCAACGTCTAGAGAAGAAACAAGAAACATAAAGGCTACCTTAGTAAAAAGTAGGCCTATTTAAGTAATTTTCAAGGAAATGCTAATTAGAAGATCCTCAAGAGGGTGAAAGTAAAATATTTAAAATAAAGAACGATTTCACACCGATGACTACAACAAACAAACAAATGATACTTGACAAAGAAATACCAAAGATTATAATAATGTTAACAAGATCACACACGTAAACTGGATTTCCTTCGAAAGAACCTCATGATACATCTCACAGTTAATTTATTATGACAACGTGACCAAAAAAACTAAATGGTGGAAATGAATAACAAGTGGAGAAATAGTACTCACCAAACGGAGAGAGCAAGATGATATCCTGAATATTTTTGAACCATTATTCGACAACTGTTGATTGTCCAAACACAGTAATCAGTGCAACGCCTTCACTTAGCAATCAGTACAATAATTTCCTAATAATTGCAAAAGCTTCACCGGTTAACAAACGTAACATTTTGTCTATGTTTTTTGCTTTTTAATCAGCATTTTTAATCAGTCTTTAATCATTTTGTGTGCATTTTTGTTCAATTTTGTTTGAATTTGCATTTTGTTTCATAATATTTTTGTTTCATAAATGTGGGTTTATCTCAGTTTTGTACAACACTGTCAATGTTCTAATACTGTACGTTGAAACGTTTGTCATATTCGTCTGTCGGGTGTTTTGCAAAAATAACTCTATGTATGATTTTTAAATGTTACATTTTTCTACGCATGTTTAACAAGAACAATTTTACTCTGAAGTGTTCATTAACTAAGTGTCTTCAATTTTTCATCAATGTGAAGAAATTTGTATTTTCAGCCATGTTGATGTAAGATTTTAAAAGTGATATTCAACAGTTTGTCATCTATTAGTACACTATCTTTGTATTTGTGTTATATACTGTAAATATTTGTAGATAATTTTAAAACCATTCAACATAAAAATATTATTTTAACTAAAAATCATTTTCACTACATCAGTACATTGTCATTCTAAAAAATGTTGAATATAGAGAAAGTATCAGAAAAACCAACATACCACATATTTTTCTTTTCCACATCCACACTCGCCATTCCATATCCAACACTTTTTCACTTATCAGTGTGGTTTGGAGTACAAAGTTTAAATTTTGTCAAAATTAAATCTACAGTTTCACCTTTCATATCGACATAGGCAATCTACATTTTTGAATCTACTTATAAATGTATGAATGTATTGATCAGGTTTCACGGAAGTTGGCCTTCGTTGAAGACGAGCTTGAAGTAGCTGAGGACCGTGTAAAATCTGGAGACTCGTAAGTAACCACATACAATGTATATTATACCATAATATACCATATACCATTATACCATAATAGTTATTTGTGTAACTAGTGCGTGAAGTAGCACTTTGCGCTCGCATTACACAAAATATTTTTCCTACAGTTACTATAAAGCATACGAATAATTAGTTTCTCAAACACTTAAACAACACGTTTTAGATTAGGTTAAATGTGGTTAAATCCAATCATTGAACGAAAATAACATGAAACTGCAGGTTAAGTCGAAGTATCAAAATTCAAAAGGCTGTGAAACGCTGCAGCAGCTGATTGTAGTCGTAGTATCTTTGTGTAGCCCCACTAGAAAAAAACGTGTAGCCAACGTATTTTCAAGGGAACACTTATTACCCCGAATACAAGAAAATACCTGGTATGGATCATAAACATAAACAAATGACGTTTTGGTCCGAAAGTTAACAAAACATATGTTAATTAATGCTATTAGTATAGGGGGTTTCTGTACTTTCTGGCCAAAAACGTCATTTGTTTGTTTATGATCCATACCGGTATTTTTCTAGTATTCGTGCTTATTACGTACCTTTAGAGTACACTGTTTTGTGTTGTTGGGTTGGAATACTGGAGTGCGGAAAAAAATGATTGTGACAAAAGTAAAATGAATGCGGCAAAAGTAAGTAAATTTATTAGCTGCTTAGCATGCTAAAATCAGTGCAAGGAAGTCTGCTTTGTCAGTTAACTGTAGGAAAACATATTTGCATTGTCCCAATCAGTGTATAAAAAATAACTCTTTACTCTCAAGAAATATAAGAACAGTAAAACATACCAAGCTACAGAAACTGCCCTCGTGAAACTCCCCTATAGATATGGAAGCAACAGTAAAGAGGACATTTTAGTAAAAAAATAACATGTTTAGTGTAGTTAGATTTTCTAGTTTCCTTCAATTTTCAAAACGTTCTTAAGGGCTTTCGGTAACACAATAAAACCCTTATGTGATCAGCAATATTATATTCTTATTAAAAATTACATAACCTTCATTCTGACTCTGAAAACTAATTTCCATAACCTGAAAAGAGTTACCATAAGCTAGGGACGGTATAAAGTGGAACATCTTCTGTAAAATAATAACTATAAAGCTGTGTTGTTGTACCGAGGGAAGCTCGAAAATAAAGGATTTTTTATTCGTTAGTCATTTGTTTATTTACTCATGAAGTAAACAGAGAAAATTTAGTTAATCTATTTATTTTTACTTAATAAGTAAATAATGCTAATTGTACAAGGGGAACAGATGGTAGTAGAATTTTTACAAAAACGTTAATGTGAATGTTCGTGTTCAGTTGTAAAGAAAGTTCCTTGGCGTTTTTTAAATTTTTTTTTAAGTATGGCAAGACAATTAGTCAACTGTTTATTTTAATTGGGTAAAAATGCGATGATTTTCAAGCTGCAATTATTGACTTTTATTATAATTTACAGAAAGATCATGGAACTGGAAGAAGAATTGAAGGTCGTCGGTAACAGCTTAAAGTCTCTGGAAGTCTCAGAAGAAAAGGTAATAGACTTTAACTCTACTATGTCAGGACAAAAAGAAATAATTTTGGCAGTTATTATAAATAAACCTATGTAATACTCATATTTCAATTGATATAGTAAGAAGTTAAATTTTAACCACGATATAATTGCTGAAGACCTGCATTGTGTATATGAAAAAAACATATTTAATGTTACGATGAAAGACTTTGGAACACAAGAATAAATGAATCAAATAAACTTATTAAAAGTTATCACGATACTTGAAGTAGTTTTTCAGAATACATTCAATAAAATATTTTTATTTTGAGATGATTCCGTTAATATGATGAAACCATTGCAAATTTTTATCTAGGTACTTATTATCCCCTTATGTACTTATCCTTATACCTATTATGTACTTGCTATGTACATCTATGTACTTATTATGTACTCACTATTCACTATTTGACAATTTGTTTGTTTGTTTAGGCCAACCAGCGAGTAGAGGAATACAAGCAACAAATCAAGCAACTCTCCGTCAAGCTCAAAGAAGTGAGTTTAGTTACAATTTAGTATACTTTTAATCTCATTTATATCTTAAGAATTCCCAATTCTAGGTTGGGAGGAATAGATAATTCAGTTTTGAATACTATCTTGGTAACAGGTAGCGTGTGTTGGTGCTATTATACAGATAAAGTATAAAGTATAATATAAAACGAGGGGCCAGTGTGCAAATTTGTTTTCGAGTCTAAATGAATCCAATTCTAAACAAACAAAAACAAACAAATATTAAACATGTCCGACAACTAAACCAACATGTTTGACATAGTTATCAGGTGAATAAAACTACGAATTAGCAGAACATAAATTAATTCAATTTGCTGCTCTTAGATCCAACCCAAACCATAAATTAGTGCATTTAAATTCCATTTTACATAAACTGTTTGATTTTATTCGTTAACAATGACCGTGTTCAAAGATTAGACTGAAGGATCAGCTGTTTAAATTCGCAAAAGAAAGTTGTTCACAATCACTGAATCTTTGAAAATGATGGATTTAATCATAGACAAATCTTTTTGTCTGTGATATAATGCTATGAGGGCTCAGCCCTAAAGTTATCTTCTTCATTACCTTTCGTCATCCCGCAAGATCACATGCCTTGAAATGACACCTCAATAGTACAAATTGGCAAATTAGGGAGCCTAAAAAGGCCTCCTTATTGTATTAAGTATTATGTATTAAGTATTATTATGTATTATTATGGATATAGCGTCCCGATACATTCAAAACAGTTTATACCTAAAGATTAAATTAAAAATGTTTATTGAATAGCTGCAATTTCTAAATTTTCTAATAGCAGCCATTTTTATTTTTTTCGATATTATCAGCGTCTGCAATAGAGGTTTATCAGGCGGTAGGTGTTTCTTAATACATTTCAAAAGGCAATATTTTTCTATCAGTTACACCTGTCATCATCAGGCTCTTGATTAGAAATCTACAATGTACTTTGATTTCTAAACTGGTTCCCAGAACTAATTTTGTTTACCAAACTGCTTTACTGAAATAATGTTCAACACTTCAGTTTACTTTAGTTTACTTGGCCAATCATCAACAATTTATAGTTAATTAAATGACTCAGTGGTTTCAAATCCCCATCTTAAGCTGTAATTTCTTCAATATACAACAAAATGGGATACGTTCTTAGGCGCGAACTTGACTATTTTTCTTTTACATTTAGACTTTTTACAAAGGGTACCTTGATCACATGATCGTTCCCTGTTGCAGGCTGAGGCTCGTGCAGAGTTCGCCGAGAAGACCGTCAAGAAACTGCAGAAGGAGGTCGACAGGCTGGAAGGTCAGATTCGAGAAATACTTAACTTTTTCAAATATTTCTTAAGACATTCGGTAAAATCGACAATGCTTATTGCTGTAGCGTTCATAGGCATTGGTTTTAACGTTCTTTATTTCGCTATGTTCCATGTGTTTATCAACAGATTCGCTGGCTTTGCATGCTTAACGCTTAGGAGAAACGAGTTTAGCTATTTAAGTGGGTCGATGATATATTCGTTTTAATTTTCTCTTGGAGGGCGAACCAAAAGGAAAAAGTCGATGGGTTTTTGTTTTAAAGCAATGTTTTTGTTCCATTGTAAAATTAATTTTGAAGCCGGTCACAAGTGTAATGGTGTGGTTTACTGAACAGCATTATTTAAGCAACTATCTGATTTTTCATGGAATCGTAACATTTTTGATTGTTATGATTGTGTGTAACTTTGGTTATGTTAACCTGTGTGTGTTTTCCTGACATGAAATAACAGGAGACACAGTGAACCTCATCCATTAGCATGAAAACAATAATCATGTTATTTGTATGTAATAATATACATTCACGTCATGCCATATCAGAATATTTAAATTCAAATACATTATTGTACAGCATTTTTAATAGTTAAGTTTAAACATAAGATACCAAGGGGTTAATCAGTAGAACAGCTTCGTAATGCAATAATATCTTGCCTTCGATAGTCGCTTGTAACATAGAGCAATAAGGTACTATTGGCTTGCTTACGTCCGCTTACTCTATGCTGCTTGCTCTGTGGCGCTCACTCCCGCCTCCGCCATTTTGCTGACTCGCAGATGTTTGCAGATGAACTTCACACAGAGAAGGACAAATACAAGACCGTCATGGCTGACGTGGACGCGACACTCACAGAAATCGTGGGCGCCTAGTCCCAGCGAGCCTTGTATTAACATGATGTGTGTTGTAATATGTATGAAAATAACCATCAAAGCGCCATCGGAAAAGGTATTGTCGAACTCCCGGAGAAGACCCTCTGATGAGAACCTCCCATTTTGGTTTTTGAATTTCGTAGACTCCTATCAGGACTCTATGGGAAATGTAGGCCCCGAGGTTTTTTCCCCAGGGTAACTTTGGACAAACCCGTTGTTTCTTAGTCTTGTCTGTATTTGTTGAGTGTCACTATCACTATCCCAATGTACATTGTACTGTAGCCCCAACAGTCTGCATGTACCCATTCCATGTACATCTTCGTGCATGTCTGTCCACCCTATCGTCGATATTGAAGCATGAGATTCTACAATATTCTCCCGAAGGAATGTCTTCTCGACTCATTTTACATTTGAATCAGTGAAAAAAAACTAGTTCTATATTACCCTAAAAAATTTCAAAATACTCCTTTCTACAACTCTTCAAAAGAATCACATTTGAACCCAGAACCTTATCTAAAGCAATTTTTTCTCACCGTAAGTAAAGATCAACACATTTTTACTTTGATCGAATACTCCCAGAAATATAAAAAAAGCCTATTGAGAGAAACATCGAAATATTGTTCTTACTCATCATAGTAATTGGATGGAAAACGATGAGAAGTTCAAGTTTCTACTTAGCAACAACTCATGATCTCTATGTGATGTGCAGTTTTGTTACACATACTTTATGGTTACCATAACATTTATTTCCATTTATGGTTTATTCTTTTCGATTCACCATTCCAATACAGAATTATGGTTTCTTTGTACTTCAATGATGTGCCTCAGAAGATACTGTGTTAAGTTTATTCCTCTAACATTTAGAGTTTTGTCCTAATTTGCTGTGCTTGTGCTATTAATGCCATTATTTGTTAATGTATGTTGTCCTTGTGTTAGTTTTAGTCTACGTTTATGGTATTTAAAAAGTAAATTAAAGTTTAAACAAGATCCAATAAAAAACAGTGTACTACTGTAATATAATTTGAAACAAAATGTCAACATTTAAAATATTTAAATAAAAGGTTTGTTTCAAAAGGGAAATATAAAAAATTCGATTCATTTTGTTATTTAATGACATTGTAAACATAGAAAATCTTGAATTACCTGAGTAAGGATTCTAAAGGCTTTATCAAATTTAATTCTAGATAATAAAAATGTCAATGTTTTATCTAAAATTCTAACAAGGCTAGTTCAATGTAAATATATTTTCTTATTCTATTTTACATGCCTCTATACGTTGTATTTCTGACTATATTTTTATGTTCTTTACATTTTTTAACTTATTTTTTCTTCTTTGTCTCACACCTCTTTTATTTCTCACTCTATCTACTTGCTTCTTTATCTCCAAGTCTTTTTCTTTATTTGCCTGAACTTAATTTATTTTTTCCACTGTCGTTATTTTTTAACTTTTTGTGTTTTGTTTTCTTTCTTTTCCCCTCTTTTCTCTGTCTCTTGTCTCCAACTCACGAGGCTTGTCTATGTCTACATGTTGTTGTGTTGTTGTTCATGTCGTGTTGTTGTTGTGTATAGACGAGCTTGGACTCAACAAGGATAGGTACAAGTCCCTGGCCGATGAGATGGACTCCACCTTCGCCGAGTTGGCTGGCTACTAGACTTATCTCCCCTTGTACATCTAAAAACTCATCTCACCGATCGCGCCACATAAGGCTCCATTGGGCGACATCTCTAACGACTCATTCGTCTCTCGTTGTCCGCAACGTTTGACAAATGAAAGAAATAATTAATCGCATTGTTGAAAACGCTTTTTATTTAGTTTGCAGTAAATTTGAATTGTACTCGTGTGGTTAGCCTTGGAGGTGTTCGCTTCTAGAGATTATCGCTGGGTGTACCGACTTATCGCTGTCTGATTGTTGGAGACTAACCACATTTGTGTGACTATTTATTAAGATGTACGTATTAAGCAATTGGTGAATTGTATATTTTTTATTGTTCATGTCGTATTATTAAGTTATCATAAGATGAAACTATTCGAGGAAATGTAATGTAAGATATGTTGCCAATAGTGCCTTATTGTCTGTCACCACTGCAATGTGGATAGATTTAATGACGATTTATGAAATATATGTTCGGACGCTTGATGGTTCTTCTACTACGCCTTGTCATTCATCCTGTCGTACATTAGAGTTACATGTAGAAATTAGTCAAACTTTGTGACACGATCACGATATACAACTTAGTGTATCTCATATAAAATACAACTTCATGTAACCTTTTTGTCTATGCATTAAATATGTCTGTGTCAAATCAATCCTGTGAAACACGCATGATAAATGCATGCAGTCACTGTTTTTGTCCTACAATAAATGTTTACTCGGACAACTGATAACATAAAATGTTACAATCCAAAGATAACTTAACATAATATTTACCACAAATATAATTTTATAAGGAAGTTGTATGTTGGCAATTAAGTTACCCAATCATTTGACTGTTGTAAGTAACTTCAATGTAAGTTGTGTAAGTGTTGCTAACATTGTGATTGCTGATGAGAAGAAGTGAAGATGCTGCGGAACATGTTAAGGTAAGAACTGTATGTTACTAATGCTTATTGCTTTTGTAGATAACTTATGTTTTCTTACAATTTAACACCTATCAAAATTCATGTTTCTGGCCCCTGGACTTAACATGTATTGTCTTAACACGTATTTTGTTACAATTTTAATTTTAAAGCTTTTTGCGACTGGTCATTTCGTTAGAGCACGGGACTTCTAATCTGGAGGCCCGAGTTCAATTCCTGCCAATCACAAATTAATTGCTTTTAGCTGTGAATCTCATAAACCAGAGGTTCGGAGCCCACCTTAAGTAACTCACTATTTACTGAGCAAGCAAAATCCTATAAATATTTAAAATCTATATTTAGAAAGCCTGGTCTTTCTTAATCATTTGTTGGCAAAATGTCTAATACATGAAAAATTGTCCATGGCATCTTATGGTGCAACAGTTGAAGCAAGCACTCGTCTTAAAACCGAACATTCAAAATTTTTTTAATGTTCTTGAATTAATTACAGTAGCTAATTTGTCATAAGAATCTACAGAATTTTTTTAAAATTAAAATCAGCTAATCGTTAACTCAGTTAATCTCCTATAATGTGATCAATTAATTAAATTTAAAATGACAACTCTTAATGTGATGCAACACATTAAGATTAAAATAGACAGTGAAAATATACTTAGTAAATAAATATTGCCTAAACAAAGAAATTGGCTTTTAATTATGCATGGTTTTGTTATTTCAGGAATTAAATAATCTCTTCCTTTGCTTTAGTATCTTGTGTATATTTTTCTAGAGTATTTATAAATTCTGTTCTCATCTACGTGTGTCTCTTCGTGCCTCTTGTGAAACTTTTTTTACACGTACCATTTTGTAACCTAATCGTTACTTTTCCGCTTATTACTAAAATTTCTTCATACAATATTTTATTTTCCCCTTTTTAGTTTTTTGACAAGGTAGTGAGTAGAAGGTATAGTAGTTGTAGCTGACGGTTTGTTGTTACTTGTCATGTAAATATGCAACATGTTTGATTCAAAGGAAGCATTTCCAACGTTGACGGTTTTATAAACACAAAATATGTTGGTAAAGGCTTAATTATTCACTACAATTTGATTGAATTATTATAAAATGTGATTAAATCCAGAACTTCATAAAAAATTCTGTAAAGAATTGGTAGTGCAAGTCGATATTGACGTTGACTTACCTAGTCTTGTTTGAAATTGTTGATATACATAAGCAAAAATGAATTAAAAACGGAAAAAAATTGTAAAAATGTATATAATGTAGACAAAAAGAGTAGATTCTGAATGTGACAGCTGTAGATTCTGTTTAAGCTTTTTTCAGCAGGATGTCACTTTTTCACTCTCGACTCTTTTTGTTAACTTTTTTCACAACTTTTAAAACCCATACAATTATTGAAACCATAATGGTATTCTAAACACTAATTTATCCCTACGTAATCTAAACTCGTCCAAATTTAGTGATCTAGTGAACCAACATTTTCTCATTCAGTTAGTGTTGCAAATGCTTCCTTCCTAACTCACCTCAAACATGTTTAAACTTGCTATTGTTCTTTC